AACTGATTATCCAAAAAGAAAAGTCATTAAACAAGGTTTTTAGACCTTTCAAATGGTTTAATTATTGGGTCGATGATTCGATTTTGGTCGATATAATTAAATTGTTAAGTGAAGTTAACAAAGGCATCGGTATCAACAAATTTTTACTATTGACGAAGAACTTGACAAAGGAGAGAGCGAGAGAAGTCAGAGCTTTGAAAGTTGATTATGTAGAAGAGATTAGCATAAATATTGATTTGTTAGAAGAAAAGTGGTTGTCCGACCCATGTAATAGTCACTTGCAGCAGGAGATTTCTTCGTCAAAGGCTAACATGTGGGTTGTTGCAAGGAAGGTTGAAAGATAATGGCTTCAAAAATCTAGGCTCAAGTGGTTTAAGGAGGGGGATAAAAATACAAAATTCTTCCATCTCACAGCTGTTTCAAGGGGTCGTAAAAATCAGATTTCCAAGCTGAAGTCTCAGAATGTGATTTTCAAGAATCAGGCGAGCATCAAGCAAGCGTTTGTCAACTATTTTTCTGTCGGTTACAATGAGGTCAAAACGATTCCTCTAAAGAAATTTGACATCCCTCTAAAGAGAATTAACTCTGCCTCTAGGAGGTTTTTGGAGAGTTTTTTTTCAGAAGAGGAGGTTTGGCTTTCTGTTATATCGTCAGATGGCTCAAGAGCGTCAGGTCCCGATGGTTTTAGTCTGGACTTCTTCAAGAGATTTTGGATGCTCATCAAATGAGATGTTATTTCCCGAAGAAAGTAGAGGCTATTTCCCCGGAGGATTTCAGACCAATCTCATTAGTGGGCAGCATATACAAGATAGTTTCTCGCATTTTGTCTAAGAGGTTGGCCAGCTGTCTTTCTGATGTGGTTGGGCAGCATCAGTTTGCTTTTATTGCAGGGAAACAAATTGTCGATTGCAGTCTGATTGCTAATGAAGTTATTGATGGGTTGTCTAAAAGCAAAAAAGAAGCGGTGTTGATCAAGGCTGACTTTAGCAAAGTAGAGGCTATTTCCCCGGAGGATTTCAGACCAATCTCATTAGTGGGCAGCATATACAAGAAAGTTTCTCTCATTTTGTCTAAGAGGTTGGCCAGCTGTCTTTCTGATGTGGTTGGGCAGCATCAGTTTGCTTTTATTGCAGGGAAACAAATTGCCGATTGCAGTCTGATTGCTAATGAAGTTATTGATGGGTTGTCTAAAAGCAAAAAAGAATCGGTGTTGATCAAGGCTGACTTTAGCAAAGCTTTTGATACGGTTGATTGGAAGTTTCTGCTTTTGATCCTAAAGAAGATGGGGTTTAGGAAACGATGGAGAAAATGGGTCTCCTTATGTATTTCTATACCTTCAATTTCCGTCTTAGTCAATGGATGTCCGTCAAACTCTTTCTCTATCAAGAGGGGCCTTAGGCAAGGTTGTCCGTTGTCGCCGCTGCTTTTCAATATTGTTGGTGAGGCGTTAAGTGGTATGTTTAAAAAGGCTTCGGATATCGGTCTATGCCGTGGTGTGGTTGTTGGGTCTGGTGATTTAAATTTAACCCACCTCCAATTCGCTGACGATTTACTCATTTTTCTGAAGCTAATGTAAATTCCATTCTAATTTCTATCGGATTCTTAGAATTTTTGAAGTGGCAGCTAGTCTTAAGCTAAATTTGTCTAAAACATTGTTATCGGCATCAATTTGGATGTTCATAGAGTCAGGAGTTGGGCTGAATTTTTTCATTGTAGTTGGGCACAACTTCAGATGACTTATTTGGGTTTGCCTTTAGGGCATCAGAAGAACTCTAAGATGCTTTGGCAACCTATATTGGATAAAGTCAATAGTCGGCTTCAAGGTTGGAAAGGTAAATTGCTTTCGCTAGGTGGTAGGATAACTCTTATTCAATCCGTCCTAGTCAATTTGCATGTTTATTTTATATCAATCTTCCCCATTCCTAAGTCTATTACTGATCAAATTAATAGAAGCATTGCTAATTTCGTCTGGAACTCTAAATCGGCAAAGTGCATTCACTGGATTAAGTGGGACAGTTTATGTAAACCAAAATCTCACGGGGTCTGGGGTTTTTTGATATTAAAATTAGAAATCGTTCTTTGCTAAATAAGTGGATTTGGAGGTATAGTTTGGAAAAGGATAGCTTATGGAGGAAGATTGTTGAAGCTAAGTACAATTATGATCAAGACGCAATCATTCCAAAAGCTGTTAACAATAGATCTTCTTCGTAGGTGTGGCACGGTATTGTGAATCTTGCTGGTTCTTTGGACTCTGATTTCTTGAAGGATTTGAGGTGTGTTATGGGTAATGGGGTTAATATAGATTTCTAGTCTGATTTTTGGATTGAAAAACCTTCTTTAAAAAGCTCGTTCCCCTGTATTTTCAGTATAGCTGTTAAAAAATTCGGTAAGATTAAAGATTTTGGTTGTTGGTTTCAAGGTCGTTGGGAATGGAGGATTATATTGAGAAGAGCTTTTTTCGATTGGGAACTGCCTATATGGGATGATTTCTTGCTCGTTTTAAGCAGAGCGGTTCCTGCAGTTTTTGGCCCGGACAGATTAGTATGGCATGGTTCGTCAGACGGTGTTTATAATCCAAAAGATTATTGCTTTAAAGTAGCCACTGAAGGTTTGCTGGTTGATCCGGTGTGGAGCCTAGTTTGGTCCAAACTTGTGCCGCCTAAGGTCACCGCTTTTGTGTGGAAAGCAGTGCATTTTAGATTGCCAGTTATGGTAGAGCTGATAAAAAGGGATGTCAATTATTATGATCAGGTTTGTTATCTTTTCTGTAACCTTGAGCCGGAATCGATCAATCACGTTCTGTGCCATTGTTATGTTGTTTGGGAAGCTTGGCAAAGATGGTGCTCGGTATGGAATGTTTCTTTTGTGTTTCCTAGGGATGTCAAACATTTGATTCAGGTTTGGTTCTCGCAACAGATTAGGAAGAGTGTAAGGGCGCTTTGGCGTATCGGCTTCTTCGGTCTCATTTGGGTTACTTGGATTTGTAAAAATAATTACAAATTTAAGGGTTCTTCTTGTTCGTCTGATCAGATTTTTAACAAAGCTTTGCTTCAGATAGGTCTATGGGCGAATTTCTCTTGGCCGTTGAAGTTTCCTGTGGTCTCTGATTTTATTCGGAACCCGTAAGCTATTGTTCGAGGTGCTTGCTAATGGAGTTGATGTTCTTTCAGTACTGTAAGCTTTTATGGTCGTAATTCGGCTATAGTTCATCGATTTCTGCTGATTGCCTAAGTCTTCTGATTTGTTCTTTAATGTTCTAATTGTTCTCTGCTGATTGTTTTGTTTGCGTTGGTTTTGCTCGTGTTTTGGGGGTGGTTCTTGTTTATGTCGTTTTAAATTTTCGATGTTAGCTACTTGTTCTAATGATCTCTTCACTCCAGGTGTACTCTTTTTCCTCCAAATAGGTCTAGGGAGGCTTTTTAATGAGACCCTTGGAGTGATCACTTTGTTATTTCAATAATACAAAGTACCTATTTTCAACAAAAAAATATATATCACCGCTTAATTAGAGATTAAATTTATTAAATTGAATTAAAATTATGATCAAATTGATAGAATATATAAATATTGATGATTAAACATGCCATTATATAAATTTTATTAACTTCCACATCAACACTTCCGTCAAAGGTTAATGGTAAGTGACTTGATTGAATACATTTAAATAATTAGAAGACTTAATTGATAAAATTTCAAAAATGATAGTCAAAATGAAAAAGAACAATAGTTAGGAGACCATTATGATAATTTACCCGAAATAATATTACTGATGATGGAATTATTGTTGCAGATCAGACGTCACTCTTCAATCCAATCAAATGAGTAAATCTTTAACTTTTTTTTTTGTGTGAAGGAAGTAAATCTTTAACTTCAAGTGTAAGAATTTGGTACGGAATAGACTCTGCAATCCACTGATCAATTAATCTATTATTTGTTACAATAAAATAAAAGTACTCCTATTTTATTTTATTTTAGCACCTGCCACCATTCAAATGTTTGATTTTTAAAGTATAAAGAAACAAGACAGCGATCACGTACTGGATGCCTGTCGAATTTTTCTTACATTTTTATTATTTGCAGTGCACTGTTGTTATTAATTAGTATACGTTAATCTTTGATCCTTTAGTCTCTTTATATAAGCTAGGGTAAAAAGACTTAATTTATATATTTTAAAAAATATTAACGATAATTTTATTTTAGGCTATTTATAGTAAAATCAAAATATTTTAAATTAAATTTATAACATTTTTTTTGTAAAAACAAGTATCAAATTTACATTCAGGAAGTAAAAAATGAAAAAAAATGTTAGAATCCAAAGATCATTAACAATTACAGCCGATAACAAGCACATGATCATTAAATATACATGATAGTAATAAAATAATTTATTTGAATTTTTTTCAATTAAGTAAACATATAAAATTTAAAACAAATTTCCAAATAGAAGCAAATTTTATTCATTATATATATGAAAACATTTAAAATATTAATATTTTGCATAAAACAATATAATAAGGTGTTAAATATTTTAAAATTTTAAGAATTAATTTATAATTTTAGGGACTTATAGTAAAATTTAATTCATAAAACTGTTATAAAAATTAAATTTGAAATTAATATTAATATTAAGCCTGTTACAAAAAGAAATAAAAATAGTAGGTGATTAAACAGTCGTGTTGATGTCAGTCAGAGTGAGTGAGTCAGATAATTTTGCATATTTTTCCACCGAGGCAGAGGCCCTTTCAGTCTTTCACTTCTTTTAACAACGGCCAAAACCCTGCTTTATTCCCTCATACGTCCCAAAGCCAAATGAGAAAGGGAAAGTAACCTTAAAAAAAAGCATAATATTCGACCCATGGTAAAGTGGGAAAAAGTAGCCGGTTCCACAGAAAGAGTCCAAACGTTGCCGTTGCAGTCCTTAATATTCACGTTTTATGAGATGTTCTTTCTCCTTTTCCCCTTCTAACATTGAAAAACGATCATGTGAATATGTGATCTCGGTTTCTTTGTCTGTCTTTTTCCTCCTCTCCGTTGCTTCTTTAAAACCCCAGATTTCTTCACAAAACACAAATTATTCTCTTTATACTGGAATTTTCTGAGTGTTTACGCCAACTCTCGGTTACTTCATTGCTGTAAAAACTGTTTACTTTCCTTTGTACTGTTTGGTCTCCGAGAAACCCAAGAGAACGAGAGAGGAACTTGTTTGAAAGAAAAAGAACAAGACAACCCTCTATTCAGCTTATTACTTTATTGCCCCCTTTTTCTCTCTTGTTCTTTTAGTTGTTTGATGGTGATGGTCGTTGGAGGAGTAATGGCAGATTTTTAAGCTCATTAAAAATAAAATTTTGGAAGGATACTAATTTGTTTCTGGCGTAACGTCGTTTTCTTGCTCGTCGGTACTCGGTAGAGCGTTGAACGACTCAAAAAATATGTCCGAGTCAAACAAAGTAAGGTTGGTTCGGTGTCCAAAGTGCGAAAACCTTCTCCCAGAGCTTGCTGATTATTCCGTTTACCAGTGTGGTGGCTGCGGCGCTGTTCTTCGAGGTACTCCCGTTTTCCCCATAGTTGCTTGTTTGGTTGATGAGAAAGTAGCTGAATACGATAGAAATTAAGCAAGTTGATTTCGAGCTATTTATCCGTGTTTACCTTGTTCCCATAAATGTTGAAATTTGAACCAAATGGTATAAATTTAATGGTTAGGCATGGTGTTTCGAACTTTTTAATTACCACAATGGCAAGGTTCGTTATTGGAAAAATCGAAGCTGGACTCTGTTCTTTTTATTTGCTTCGTGCTATACAGCCCTCAGTTAGATCAACAATTAAACATATCATTTAGTTGTATAACAGAACTCTCTGCTGAATTTTGTTAATTCAAATTAATGAAACCATTTAAGGCTTTGGATTATAATTCCTTGTTCTTTTTTGTGAACCTGTTGGTCTCGATCTTCCATGAAATATGTAATTCTCCCAAAATTTGAAATTGGAATGTTGTTTTTTAACAGCAAAATTTAGGAACCGTGAAGCAGATTCCTCGTCCGAGAAGTCGAAAGAAGATAGACTTGGAGGAGTTTCTAGCAAATCCCAGGTTCCCTTGGAGAAAGGAATAGTCAAGTCGAGTGATACCTCTGATGCCGATGTTAAATCAAGTGCCGGCTCTTTGAGGTGTGATCATCAAACTGATGCGGAGAAGGAGGAGAATGTCGACTGCATTGATATAAGTAGGAATGAATCTAAGGTTGCTAGCGATAAACGGCCTGTTGAGAATGCAAATAATTCCGGCAGGAATAAGGATGTTATAGTTAATTCCATTGAAAAAGAACAGGAGGATTCAGATTCAAATTTTGGATATACTGTTGGATCACAAAGGTTGGGACAGATGTCCGATTGGCTAACCGGGAAGCAAGGAGAGAAGACGAGGTTGCAGAGAATTCCGAAAGCTGTCGTTGAAGGTTTGCGGTTTTCTACTTCAAATGACGAAGGCCCATCAAACCGTCATTTGGATTATTCTCATGGTTATAGTGATTCCCTGCAGAATCGAACCGACCAGGATGGTTCTAATAGAATCCAGCTTGAACAAGAGCGAGCTGAGCTTCTGAGGAAGTTGGATGAGCTAAAAGAGAGACTTAGTCGATCTTGCGATGTGGTTGATAAACCAGAAGAGAAGGCTACATTCGGGAGGGTTATTCCTCCTGAGTCTTATGGTGGTGCTGATACCTTGTTCCCATGTGGATCTTCCGGATCAAAGAAGCCTTCAATGCCTTTGTATGGACCTGATAAACGTGCTGCAGGAGCAGGACCCTCTTATTATAGTCATCTTCCGGAACCATTTTCTTATCCAGTCAGTCATGATATGACTCGGCATGGGTTGTATCCTCCTATGCACAATCCAAATCATATTCCTACATATGGAGATCCTTTTGGATCCCAAATGCTTGGAAGAGCTCCGCCCCTGTTACCTGGAGAATACCCACAACAGCTGCCTCATCCATACTTTTCTGGACAGTATATGGAAAGCAATCATGACCCATTCATGCCATATCCACAAAGTTCAATGTTGCATCAAGCTTCTTGTTCTTGCTTTCACTGTTATGAGAAACATCGGCGAGTTGCAGCACCTGTTCCACCCAGCTCATTTGGCAATAAAATGTTCCCGGGTGTGCCCTGTAACCCAATGTATCACATCGAGAACCCTGGGACTTTTGGTTCACATTTCCATAGTTCTAGGACTACGATGCCTCAACGGAGTGTGCTTCGTACACAAGCTCATGCTAGATGGCCAGGTGATATTAACTCAGATATAGGTGGTTTTGTTCAGTGTCATCCACCGAGAGTGGAGGTTGCCAGTGGTGGTCGACGTTTCCGTCCTATTGCTGGTGGTGCTCCGTTCATTTTGTGTTATAATTGCTTTGAATTACTACAAATGCCCAGGAAAGTGCAGCTCACCGAGAAAGCTGAAAATAAATTGCGTTGCGGTGCCTGTTCAAGTGTAATAAACTTTACTGTCACAGACAAGAAGCTTGTTCTTCATGATCATGCGGAAACAAAGGGAATTTCTGTAGAGGTTGATGATATCTCTGATGAAGTTGTCAATGATAGTTCCTCATATTTCCGTGGCCGCGCAAACCGAACTGCTGCTAACTTCTCGTCTAATTACTATGATATTTCTGGTTATGATTTTCAGTCAACGGAAGGAGAACCTGTTGCATCGTCAATTGACCAGGCTTTGAATTCAATCAGACCTCAAGAAATGCGGAGCTTTCATTCATCATCTCCAAGCGTCTCTGAGGATGACAACAGTCCAGATGTTTTAATTGCTTCAAGAGAGGAAGTGAAATCCATTCCGCAGCCGATCAAATCCACCGTGTCTCTCCCACCTGCAGGCTCACCACTTCAAGAACACTTTGATTACTCTTCTGGCAATCATGCAGTGAACCGATTTGGGAAGGGAAATCGTAGTAATCGCTCTGATCAAGAGAAATTTGTGTCTAACAAGGCTACAACGCGGCAAAATACTTTAAAAGAGGCGTTGTTACCTACAGAGATGGAGGTGTCATATGATGAATACTCTAATACTGGAATCTCTCCAGATTCGGGTGAAGCAAACAGAGAAGATGATCACCCGAAAGCAGCAAAAGGAGGTGAATCATTTTTGGTAAATATAATCAAGAAGAGTTTTAAGGATTTCTCAAGATCTAATCAACCAGAGGGACGTAGGAAAAGTAATGTTTCAGTTAACGGGCATCCTATACCTGAACGTGTGCTTAAAAAAACTGAAAAGATGACCGGACCAATTCAGCCTGGACATTACTGGTAAGCATATATCCATTTTACTTTTATCTTCCGTACTACGAATCTTACTAGTTTCAGTTTATATCCCGATGCCGCTTGATGCTTGATCTAATTAACAATAACCTATCTGCTTTTTGTGCATGTATTTCTGATATTCTTTTATTGCACATGCCTAATTCAGGTATGATTTCCGAGCTGGATTCTGGGGTGTTCTTGGCGAACCTTGCCTCGGCATAATTCCTGTAAGATCAGATCATTCTTACCTAGATATTAACAGCTAAGTGTTCTGTGGTTTCTTGGTAACCGAGTTTCTCTTGCAGCCATTTATTGAAGAGTTTAATTATCCGATGCCAGAAAACTGTGCCGGTGGGACAACTGGTGTTTTTGTAAATGGAAGAGAGCTCCATCAGAAAGATTTGGATTTGCTTGCTAATAGAGGGCTTCCAACTGATAGAGATAGGTCTTACGTCATTGAGATATCGGGCAGAGTCTTGGATGAGGACACCGGTGAAGAGCTAGATTGCCTTGGCAAACTTGCCCCTACGTAAGAGCTAATTCTGACTATATATTCTAATTTCGGTTCGAGTCCTTATATACATGCTTCTGATTGTTAGTTAAATCTTGTTAACAAGTACTGATATGCTCATGAATATGTTATGTATTAGCGGCCATAAGTCTCGAGACCGATGAGATCTTAGTTTATTATTGGCAAAGACACTGGCTTTCTGGTTATCCTAGGTTGAATTAATGGGTTCTACGTATGCAGTTAATAAGTGTACGTTGTGTGCTTTGATAGTGGTTGATGGCTATAACATTCATCTCATAAATGATCGTAAGATTAGTATTAGCATTCTTACATCATCGTCTAGTTTTCCGTAGGATGTTTGAAAACAATCTCTTTAGCATTGCTGATATGTTTTTTTAACAGAGTTGAGAAAGCGAAGCGTGGTTTTGGCATGAAAGTTTCGAAAGTAGGCCCGTAATGAATTCGCGACAATTCCCGGAGTTATCCCGTCTTGGCGAACTGGTTGGAAGGTTTGAATTCCGAACGATGTTGCTCTAGCTACTCTCGATTTGTCGATGTTGGATGGCTTCTTTAATCCCGTTATAAGTAGCGATAAGGTTTCTGATTAAATTGATATTTTCACTGGTTGTTAACAGTTCACTTTCTAAATGATTCTTCTCTTTACGTGTGCAATGCAAGTAATGTAAATTTCAGTTTCCTTCTAACACATTGTTTACCCCATGGATCCGGGTTTCTTCCTTTTTACTTATTATAATTTTCAAGGTTAGGTAATTATATATATAGTGACGGATCTAGAAATATTATTTGAGGTGGACACATATATATTAATAATAATAAAATTTATATAATATAATTACAAATAAAATTTCAGAATTGATACTATCAATAAAACAAACAACTAATATAAATTTTTTTTACCTACCCTATAATACACATAAGTTTTCCATTGATTATTCGAACCTTTAGTTACATCTGACATCGAATTAAATGGGACTATTAAACAGGAGGTAGGTCTCTTTTAATGTTATTATTTTTATTTATAGAACTCATTCAATATATGATAGCTATTATAAAAGAACCCATCATTATCAACTTTATCGTGAACTTAAGGATAAAATACATAAAAGATAATTAAACTAATAAAGTAATCTATTAATAAATCATTAAAAAAATTGTTGAGAAGCTGTTAGCAAGTTAGTTAGGCAGTTAGCATTCAATATATGATAGCTATTATAAAAGAACCCATCATTATCAACTTTGTCGTGAACTTAAGGATAAAATACATAAAAGATAATTAAACTAATAAAGTAATCTATTAATAAATCATTAAAAAAATTGTTGAGAAGCTGTTAGCAAGTTAGTTAGGCAGTTAGCTAGGTGGTTAATAGCAGTTTAGTTGTTAATTAAATGTATATAAATACATTTGTTAGCTGTACATATGTGATACAATGAATAAAGCATTACTTCATACAACTTGTTTTCTTTTCTTTTCCTCATACGAATGTTGACATGGTATCAGAGGCCATCACCGGCAGCTGTTTCCGGTTAAGTTCATTGTCGGTGAGTTGATTCAACTGCTATCCTTCTTCCTTTGTTTCTGCACAATCATGGTTCAACCGGAGACAGCTCAAATCGACTACAATCACCCTCGTTATCTTCATCCATCAGACACTCCAGGAACCTTGCTCGTCTCTCATCAACTAATTGGGGTGGAAAACTACAATTTATGGAGCAGATCCATGCGCATTGCTCTATTAGCCAAGAACAAGATTGGATTTATAGATGGAGCTTGTTCTCGTGAAGGTCTATCTCCAGAACTTTTGGCGCAATGGGAGCGTTGCAATGCCATTGTTATTTCTTGGATTTTGAATACGGTTAGTCAAGAACTCTCTGCAGGAATAGTTTTTGCTTCCAATGCAGTACGTGTATGGGAAGATCTTAAAGAACGTTTTGATAAGATTGACGGTTCACAAGTGTATTTCCTGCATCGAGAAATTGTTTCTCATTCTCAAGGTACATCTTCCATTTCGGTTTATTACACACGCTTGCGATTGCTTTGGGATGAATATGATGTCATTGCTCTTTTCGCTATATGCAACTGTGAAGTTTCTCGGCAGAATAAAGAACATGTTCATCAACAACGATTGTTTCGTTTTCTTATGGGATTGAATGACTCATACTCTATGGTACACAGTCAAATACTGTTATTAAAACCATTACCTTCTGTAAATCAAGCATATTCTATGCTTGTTCAAGAGGAAGGTCAACGTCAAAACACAGGAAGATTGACCAATGTATTTGAACCTACTATATTCTACTCTAGTACTCAGACCAAGAAACGGTTCAATGGGGTATGTGATTATTGTCATATCAAAGGTCACAAGAAGGAAACATTCTACAAGCTGGTTGGTTATCCAGCTGATTACAAGTTCAATAAACGCAAGGGATTGGTTGCCAACAACGTTGTCTTGAATAGTGAAGGAGAGTCAGCCTCTTCCTTGGATGAAAACTTTGTTCCTGCTAAGGTCCCTACTTTTACACAAGAACAGTACCAACAAATTCTTGAATTGTTGGGAAAAGATCCGCCCATGCAAGCTGCAGCGCATATGGCAGGTACTCGACTTATTTCCTTGCATTATGATTGGATTCTAGATACTGAGGCAACAAATCACATGACCTTTGATCTTGTGAAATTGAATTCTTATGTTGCTTGTGACTCCTCTTCGTTTGTTCAGCTGCCAAATGGTAAAACCACACACATAGCCCACAAAGGAACTTATGCTTTTTTCCCTTGATCACATGTTAACCAACGTTTTGCATATACCAGATTTTCATTACAATTTACTGTCTGTATCACAGTTAACCAAAGAGCTCAACTGTTCTTTAACCTTTTATCCACAATTTTGCCTTATACAGGACCTCTGCAGTGGAGAGATGAAGGGGATTGGTAGATCTTATGATGGTCTTTACATTTTGAATTCATCATCTAGCTCGTCAGGTTGTCGTGTTATTTCCAGTAAAATTGTCTTCTACATTGTTAAAATCTGATAATTGTGTATTCTGGCATGCTCGTCTTGGCCATACATCTTTGAGTACTTTGAATAAAATATCTCAGTTACATAGTGATTTGTCTGGTATTGATCATGTTAAAAGTTGTGGTGTTTGTCCTCTTGCTAAACAAACTCGTCTACCATTCTCGGTGAGTGATTCTCGTGAGATAACTGCATTTTCTCTTATTCATATTGACCTCACGTATCGTATTTTAACACATAGTGGACATCGGTATTTCTTAACAATTGTTTATGATCATACGCGTATGACATGGGCGTTCTTACTTAGGCTCAAAAGCGATGCATTTGTCATTCTTAAACAGTTTTTTGTCTATGTTGACAATCATTTTTCTGGAAAAATTAAAACTGTGAGGAGTGATAATGGTTGGGAATTCTTTAGCAATGAAGGCAGTGCTTTCTTTTCTTCTCAAGGGATTGTCCATCAAAGTTCTTGTATCCATATACCCCAGCAAAACGGGGTTGCTGAGCGAAAACATCAACATCTGCTCAATGTTGCTCGTGCTATTAAGTTTCAGTCTTCTGTTCCCATTAAATTCTGGGGTGAGTGTATCCAAACTGCTTGCTACATAATTAACAGGCTGCCAACAAGGGTTCTTAATTGGAAAACACCATTTCAAATGTTGCATGGGAATGTGCCTAATCTTTCACATCTTAGAGTTTTTGGGTGTCTTTGTTATGCTACTATCCCCAACAATCATGATAAGTTTTCTTTTCGGTCTATTCCTTCGGTTTTTATGGGGTATTCACTAACTCAAAAGGGTTATGTTCTTTTTAACTTGAGCTCAAAGTTTTTTTTTGTCAATCGAGATGTGGTGTTTCACGAGTCCATTTTTCCTTTTCAATTTCCAGTTAAAAATTCTCCTTTGTTCCCTATTTCAACACTGTCTAGTGATCTTGATCGAGACTTTTTGCACATTCCAGTTGTGACATCACATGATTCGTGTAATGAGATTTTACCCGTGCATGAGTTTCCATGCAACCTTGAAACTACGAATGCTCAAAATGTAGCTTCTGGTTCAGCGTGTCAAGTACCTGATAATTCATGTCCTTCATCATCTAGTTTATCGAGTCAACAAGTTGTCCCTCGTTCTTCTCCTCGGCGTTCTACTCGAGTTACTAAATGTAATATCCCAAACTATGGGTTAGTGACCAAATTGTAAAGTTTCGGAATTTGGTGACTAAAGTAGAAGAATGGATTAGTTCAGTGATTTATTTGAAAGTATTTCCTAAAAGTTATTAGTAATTATTAAAGGAACTAAAGGGTAAAATGGTCATTTGATCATTTAAGGGAATTAAAAATATGATAGTGGGGATATATATTTTTATACGTGGGAGTATAGGAAATCAAAAACAATGTTTCCAGAATTCTCTTCTCCTCATTTCTTCTTTGTGTGTGAAGCTCCAGCTCAAAGGTGAGTTTCTTAATTAGTTGGTTATTTGTTGAATTAAAAGTTGGGTTATGATTCTTAGGTGATACTTAAGCTTAAGGAAAGCTTAAGTTATCTTAAAATCAAAAGATAAATGAGTTAGAGAAGATTAAAGATTTGGAGTTCTTGAGTGAATTTCCGGAATGGAGATGATAAGTTGAACTTGAAGTTAAATTTGACTTGTCATCAGCTTAATTAAGAAGTATTAAGTGTTAGAATTGGATTTGAAACATGTGGAAAATAGGGTATGATTCTTGAAGTTCCTAAAGATGAGAGAATATTAAGGTTAAAAATGAGATAAATGAATATTAATGAGTTTAAGCATGTATATGTAAGTTAGGAATATGAAAGGGGTTGAAATATGAAGGATTTAATCTAAAAAGAATGAATTTTCAGCTTCAAAAAGAGGATTCTGGGCAGAGTGCATCGTTGCATATTCATAGTGCACCGATGCATCAAGGTAGAAACCCAGAAATTGTTTGAAGGTGTATCGATGCACAGGTAGTGCATCGATGCACCCTTTTAAAATACAAACATCGAATGTATTTTGTGCACCGATGCATAAGTAGTGCATCGATGCATCGTTAGGGAATGCATCGATACACTGTGCAGTGCATCGATGCATACCTTCATTAAAGGATGAAATGGGCTTTTCTTTTAGCCTAAGAAGTGACAATTTAGAAGATATCAATTAGTATACTGATATGTATCAATGTATTATTATGATGTAGATATAGAATGAAGCTTGTTCCGGAACAATCTAAGGATTAAGATTGATTCAAAGCAAACAATGCTAAGGTGAGTGCACATTCTCTAGTATATGAGGTTTAATGGAAAATAAGACTTGCGATAAGTCTATTTCTAATAGTGAAAAACATGAATTCATAGAAGCATGTATTTGTTATGATTTATATGTGTGCATGAGTATATGTGTTATTGATATGAATATGGTAAGTAAGAGGGATTAATGGTGATGATAAGAATAATAATAAGGATAATGAAATGATAGGTATATGTGAATATATGTATTGAGGTGTTTTTGTATGTATTGTAAGATTATATGTTTATGTGATAACATGATGAGATGACAATGATTTACATATCATATGAACACATGAGAAATGTATGAGCTATATGAAAGAGAAAGTATATGTGATACATGAAGGTGAATCATATGTTTATATAAATATG